TTGTGGAGTACAGCACAGGCAACGATTACATCAGCAACCCTCTCAGGTTTCATGCGAATCTGTATCAAAAGGAAATCATTCTTATGGTAATTCTGAATAAGTAGTGATGATATCGAGCAAATATGTACTGAGGTGAAAGGCTACCAAGTTTGTTATACTGTATATGATCCTCACCAATTTTCAATGTCACAGAGATCAAGTGTATAAAAAAATCTTTTTAATATTAAATCACAATGCAAAGATGGTGATTCCTCAATTAATGTAGCCCATTTTAATATATTTGCCCTCGGTCCACTTTGATGGATACTGGTGTGAAATTGAGCAATTCATGCCCATTGAGACAATACCCAACACTACTGCACATCATGTGGAATTTTCTCAAGTTTATGGTAGTCATTTTCACTTAATCAAGATAATGTCCTTATAATTAGTGTCATAGGTTTATCAATACAAAACTGCTCATAACCAGAAAAAAAAGTTATCATAGAAGATTAGCTAACCTCTGAGTGAAGGACATGGAAGCGTCTTTTCCATCTCCCAAACGTCCTTTCAATGGTGCTCCTGGTTCTTGCGTGAGCGACGTTATAACGCTGTTGTTGAGCGTTCTGGGGGTTAAGATATGGGGTTAGGAGGAAAGGTCGGCAGGGATAGCCGAAATCTCCTAAAGGACCCCATTCTCCCAATTTTGGTGCTGCTCAAGGTGCAGGCAAACCTGAAGAAATAAAATATAAATTCAAAATCTTTATTTAAAACAAAAATTCAAACTTTATCGGCCGAATAAATACTTTGGTATACCACTAGTGGTATATGACTTTGTGGAGTTTGGATTGGCTGAACTTTGACCAGATTATGTCACTTCTACATGTTTATTTACGAAGAACTGGATGTCAAATTTAAAACATGTTCAACTAGGGTACTTCACATTTGTTATGTGACTGTTCATAAATGAATGATTTAAATCTGCTGAGATAAAAACAACTTCTCTGGTGTTATTCATAATCTAATTTCTATCAGTATTCCTCTTCTCTGATGTCACTCGGTGTCTGGCTTAAAGTAACCATTAAAGCCATCATTTTCTTGATATTTGCTTTCAGATTTGAATAAAATAAGTGAACTTTATTAATTTTCAAGGTCACAATGGTAAAACATGTGTAAATACTTAAACAACCTCTCCCAAATAAGGAAGAGGTCTAGGTCCAAAATGTTTGACAATAAGCATGCCTGAAATGAAGGGTTTAAATATAATTCAAATGAATGACCTTGACATAGATTGAATGTGATTTGAACTGTAACTTCCAAAATCCGTCTTCATATTTTGACAATGTTGGCATTGTATCAGTCCTTTCAGTACTTTGATTTATATCAAACTAAAATCAAAGCATACTTTAATTGAAGTACTGTAGATTATCCTCTGTTCTCCATAGAGGATAGTCAAATTGTTGATCAATAATTTGTAGTTAGTTCACCTGCAGCATCCGTCTGGCATCGACTTTACTTTAAACAACTTCTTGTCAGTAACCAAAAGGCCTATGATGATGATATTTTGCCAGTTACATGATGGGGAGAAGGGCTACCAAGTTTGTTAAATATAAAGTCCTTGTTTAACTTTCAAGGTCACAAGTGTCACATGTTTAAATCTTTTAATAGATTCTTTGGAATCAAACACTGATATTTTGCCTATAGTTATATTTTAGTCCACTTTTAAGATTACAAGTGTTAGATTTATGCAAGGTGACCCCACTGAAAATTCCCAGTGGGATTACAGTACACTGTATACAGATAATAAGATCCATCCCGATAAAAGATATATTGAGTTTAAATCAAAGGGAAATAAATATATTTTCAACTATTTTTCTTTTATGTCAATTTGTATTACATAATAAACTCCCATACCTGAGAGTTTTGAAAACATGGGTATCATGCGAACAGCCAGGCCATGCAGCGTTGATGTTGAGGAACTTGCCTATTAAAGAAGAAATATTGAAGAGGATTAAAATGCTACGAATGCTATTCGGTAGTAATTGTATTCATTACATAAACTATTTTTCAGTGAAGTCATGGATAGAATTTAATCATTGCTATGATGAAAGGAGAGTATATTTATTTCACTGGATCCACATCACTTTTGCATAACACTAAACATTAAAATTTCATCAAATATATATAGTGCCAGAAAAAAACAATGTTCATAAAAGGATGCTTGCGGGACTTTACATGTGAATTATGTAGTCACAGATTTTAAAACACCCCCATAACAAACAAAAAATGCAGGAATAGGGTAATTGAAAATGATATGTTTTTTTTATTATTTCATTATACATCAGTGTTCCTGTAATTGAATGTGATTTGATAAATTCAATTACATATGTACTAAAGTTTTCTGTACATGCAGCTTCATATGAGCATGTTTACATGTAGGACTGAATCAGATGTCACAGGTAACTCATTTTGATTTTAACACTCTGTACCTGTTACAAACTATTTGTTCTCTTTCAATGCTTTTTAGCTGTTTTGAATCAATATTATCTGTTGTTAATGTGTGTGACACTTGAATAAATTAATCATTCAAGATATAATAGTTCAACAGTTTTAATATTGATAGCTATGATTTATGTGTCCCATTTAAAAATGAACAGAAGTTATTCCACAGTGAATAGGTTTTTGGTAAAATGGCATTGGTTTCTTGAAATGTGAAATCATGATTTTCTTATACCCAAATGCTATATATATATATTGCTATAGGGCCCAGCTGAAAAATAAAATATCCCATTTGTATTTTATTTTTGTAATTGATTATTTTTTAATATGAACTAATTACGTTGTACAATTTTACAATACTAATGCAACTACAGACTACTTATTTTTGTTATTTTCAGAAACAAAAAACTGTTTGGACAACAGTACTGTGTCTGTGAGATGAGTTATGGACTTTTTGAAACAGACTTTAGGTTATATAGGTCATTTTTTATCGATGTTCTAAGCGACATAAACAAAGTTTAGGAACGCTGAGTCCAACATGATAACTTACCATCAGCATCACATACAGCTTGCACATTTATGCTGTGGTATCCCTTCCTGTTTACATATGATGGCTCATCTTTATGTGGTGCCTGCACTTTGATGTGGGTGCCATCCACTGCCCCAATTACAGAGGGAAAGGCAGATATTGAGAAGAATTTTGTTTTCCCTCGTTGTCCTTCTCCCAGGGAAGGCCACTTCAGTGCCTGATCTTTGAATTGGCACAGGGCTGCACAAACATCCCTAACACATCTAGACACTGTGCTTTTGTCCAATCCTTTCAATGAAGTAAGTTGTTTACAGTAACAAATGTGCGACTTTCATAGATTTTATTTCATGAGATTTGTTTCTGGCCTTAGCAAAGAAAGTATAGTCAATACTGTTACACTTAAACTGACTTGCCACTTCCTTTTAAAACAAAAGAGTGTTATAACCTCAAGTTCATTGAGGCAGTCAAAGGTGCTTGATTATTGTAAATTGGTTATTGCAATTTGTTTACAAAGACAATTTTTGACAGCACTGTTGGCAAGAAGTATTGTAACACTTGAATACATACAGTTTTATTCTTATTAAACATCCAGTATAGAGTAATAACAGATGAGACCACTGCTGTATTGATGAAAAATAAAAGCCATTTAAAAAAAAAGAGAAATTAAAGTGTACAAATATATATATACAATATTGGTACTTTAAGTACTTTTGAGTTTTAATGTTTATATAATTAAATACCTGTAGTGTCTCCAACAACTTGCAGGAAGCTGCCACTTGCGAGAAATCTAAGGCTGCAGGCTACCTGCTGCTCAACGCTGAGGGCATGATTTCTCATTGAATTTCTAGTCAAATGTTGTCTTAAGAGACCGCACACAAATAAAATAGACTGCCGTCCAAAGCGGTACCGCTGCCTCAACTCTTGATCGGTAAAGGTCCCATCCAGGATGTTCTGGTGCCTATACATTCGTTCTTTTCTCTGAGGTGGCACAATTACCAAGGCTAAGGCGGCCTTATTTTACGACTCGTTAAGTATTTAATCATGGGTAAGAGAATGATTAAAGTTAGCGACTATTTAGCGAGTCGTTAAATCTTAACTTTTTTGAACAACAGTTAACGACGTCGTTAACTTTTAACGACTCGCTATATATAGCTAACCAGGGTTTAACGACATCGTTAGCTTAACGATAGTTTTGAACAACCGGGCCCTGATCTTTAATTTATTTAAAAATGCACATTTAATAATAACATCAATGATTGTCTTTTCAGCACCTATATGACGAAATCGTCAAAATATCAGCGTTTTTAGGTTCAAGTGTAGATGAGAAGTTCCTACGCGAACAATAAAGCAGTGTCTCTTTTACACGTTTAAAGGCTGCACATAACACAGATACCGGAACCACAGGCCGATGGAAAGATTTATGTGAAGATGGCCGTCTACCTATTTACAGAAAGGGTCAGTACAGTTGTTTTGCTATATGTGCTATATCGGTTCATATATGATCCTAGAGCCGCCCTAAAGATCGAAGGTTAAAAAAGTATATACCGAGTATATATCTTTTTTAACCCACTGCAAGGTTTGTGCCTGATAGCTATCATTTGGAATCGTAATCGCTGTGTATGACGCGTACACATTCCCTCAATTTGTTGCTAATTACCCTCAATTTGTTTGCTAAGTGTCTTTGAGACATAAACATCGTTGATGCAGTAAACACATCAGGGGATTGTGCACCTGCGATTAATATTTCGATCCGGTTACGTTTTAGGGATGTCCCTTTATGTAAAGTCATTTATCACACACTTCTACTAAAGCGCTTCACCAATTTGAATGACACATGATACGTAGATTCCTTTTATCTAGGTGATTTCAATCAAGTATGTGAATGTGTATTGCCTGCTCTTATTATGTAGTGATGCACCTTTGTTTTGAAATGTCGTTTTTCCAAAAACTAGAAGAGTTGGCCGTTTTTCATTATCACGTCTTTGTTTTCTAGGTGTGATCGGAGACTGGAAAAATGAGTTGACTGTGGCACAGAGTGAACTCATTGACACTGCCATTAAGGAGAAACTTGCTGGCTATACATTTAACCTGAAGTATGAATAGTGTTGTATGGAACCCAATACCAGCGGGCACTGTGTTACCACTATAACGAACACATGGGATGTCCACCTTCGGAACATCAATCAACAAGCATTATACTGACATAATACAACAGTAAATACCAATTATTAAATATCAAATATTTCACTGCTATTGACATGTAATCGTAATCATCAAGCAATGATCAAAGTAGATCATTTAATCCATATCATACAGTAAGGAAAACTATAAGGAAGAGGAAATAGAGAAAATTGTGAATACTTAGTTTTCTTTATATCTATTTCATGCTTTTTGTAAATTTGTCATTTCTATTAAATTGCTTTAATGACATGAAGAATGAAATGTGCCTCTAACCGTCGATTATTATTATAAGAATACATTTGTATCCTTCTATGTGTTTTATATATTTGACATCAATGATTGATTATACGACAAATGTAGATTCACGTTATACACATTCAGCTTGACGTTTTGGACAGTGATGACTGTCTTTGGAAGTTTTTACATGTAAATGACAGTACAACGTGCAGTCCAGGCTCAATGCGTGTCGGGAACCATTTACAGTAAAGCACTTGTTATTAGATGGTATCGCCTTTCGGTCAACTCGAGAAGATTTCCATAATAACATTACATTTTCGAAAACACAACTGTCTCTTAAACTTTAGGCATTCTGAAAGCTGTTGGTCTTTTCTAATAAAATTAGTCACCATAGCCACTTTCAATAATCAATTTAACGTTTGTCTTTTACCTTTAAGTTTGGTTTGATGTTTATATTTAACATTTGTTTTTGTCGACCCTTTGTTGGAACCGAATGACCTATCCTGTTTTGATGGGCCGTTAAGCATTGATAATAATAATAACAAGGGAAAGTCGCAAATCTTTTGTCGAGAAAAAATACTGTTATATAGATATCGATTCGGTCAGCATTTATTTGAGAAAAACATCCTTAACACACACAGAACAAAAAGACAACAAAGGACATTGACGACTTGTTTACCTCAAAACCTCCCGTATGCATGCACCTGCTGGTTCCAAATGCACGATTCGTTAGAGGTGACTTATGTCCCTGAAGGTAGTGCGTAATAATTGTACCTACTGCCCCCATTACCTGATCGTGAGATGCGACTAAATTTGGGATATAATCTTTTCTCTTTTTTCTAAACAACTCTCTTCTTCCTGATGTCTCCCTTGACAATACCTCACTTTTGGCCTTTAGTTGAGCATTCGCCCCTGTGAGGAAGGCTTTGGGATCTGTCCCCATGCAGATCGTTAGAGGTGACTAAATTTGGGATCTTGTCTTTTCTCTTCTATCTTAACAACTTTCTTCTTCCTAGTGTCTCCCTTGACAATGCCTCACTTTTGGCCTTTAGTTGATCGTTCGCCCCTGTGAGGCTTCGGGTTCTGTCCCTGGCCGACACATACCAGTCTATGAAAATGATAGTTTCTACTCCTGCTTAACGCTCAGCAATTGAGGAGTGGGGCGACTGGTTCGCCCGTTGTCAGTATGATGTGACCGGGTGGGGTGTCCGGGTGGGATGTCCTGATGGGTGTCTTCGGTAGTATGTTTCAGTGAGGTAGCACTACAAAGTCGGCATAAGTTCCGCGCTATCACAAGGAGACAAACACGAACATATCGCAGCCTCCCAAAACACACTCGCATACACTTCACTCAGGCATCTTGCACACAGGTGAGGCCGTCCTTAAATAGCTGTTGATAGGATGTTAAACAATACTAAACCAAACCAAACCAAACCACTCATTATATATAAATATTTCGATAGACAAAGACTTTCTTCTCTGTTATTTCAGGACCAGACTTTACAATACTTACTTTAAATTAAGAGGGCCACGACTAAGTCAGTGTCTCTGCCAACATCTATTCCTCTGTCCTTCTTTGTTATCACTTGCTTTTTCCAGTGACATTATTTGTGAGTAAACGAATGGACTTTTAAACATAACTGACTTGCCTGTGACATGCATTTTGTAAGCCAGCTGGTGGCGACTGCTGTTTTCGTGTTTACTAGTAAGGTGATCCCACAACACCATTCCTATACTCCGCGATTAGTCTTTGTTGATTTAAAGAAAATGTAAGCTTTAGCAAATATTTTGTGCCTTTTTTCAATATTTTTTTGTTTACTTTGAGTTGTGAGACGACATTAAAGTCCTTGAAAATTATCAATGTAAAAAAATCGCTTTGCATTAAGGACGTGCACATCATCGCTTGACAAATAATATCCGGTCTAATTTGAACGCTTCATCACGGTAATACTTTGAACATTGACAGATAACTGAATACTCTATTAACAAGTTATTTTTATTCCATTGGAGAAAATAAAGTACAAAATGGGAAAATAATGACCGAATTCAGGAAAATACAGATCGAAATTTGGAAAATATTTTAATTGGGAATTCTGTCCATGTACCGGCCTAAAAAAACGCCTGGCAAAATCATATCCCCATTTGGTTGGATGTGTGCAACATCTGGAATCAATCAGCAAGGTAAGGAATTTATCATCTACTAAAGTACCTTGAAGATTGTCTACCTTTCAGACGTGTTCGTGATCGTGATATTTAATTACAACAACAGTGTTGTAATAATACGATAGAAGTATCTATTAAAATTTGTATGTTTTAAGTTTAACTTCCTTGAAACAGCCAGGGTCATATACGTTGGTTAATCAGGACAAAATTCATAAAAAGCTAGGATGAATTACTGACTACCAGCATGCGTGCATGTGTTGCAGATGGTATGTTGGTCGTTTTGCTTCATTTTGGTAGCACGGATTTCATACACATATACAGTGCTGGCTCACTGAAATGCCATCCCGAAGGCACCCAGCATAGTATTCTACCCGATCACATTATAAATGTGTAAAAACCGGCAGTGGGTAACTATAATAACCCACGTTAAAGATGACTGATGCCGAATTGGGTAAACACAAATATGCAACTCGGTGTCGTTCATATCATGTATACGCTTGCATTGACATCGTGATAATAACAAATTTTGAACCGTCGAGTTTGTGTGAAAATGTAAATGTAAGTATAAATAAGCTATTGAATTTCGGCATGACGTGGTTGTCTGTAAACGGGTTTGAAAGCGATAGTGTGTAACTTTAATCTACATTGAACTAGTTCTGGTGTAGAAACAGTCGTGATTAGGTCAGCCTTGTATCTTGTAAAATTACTTTATATACACACAGGTTAACTGGTCGGTGTAATATGATATTCGGCACACATACACAACACACATGTAGGCACGTATTTAAACTGATAAACTATCAGTAATAATAGAGGACACTGAGCCGAATATAACCAAAATAAACCGATAAGAACAACTATTTCGGACTTCATAATAGGACGTCCTACACTAGCTTATTTGATTGTTTATAGGTATTAGTTATTTTCATGTTTACTCCAAAGTGAGTCATTAAGATATCATCTTTATGACAAATAATAATGTTGCATTGTGGATTTTCGTTATAATATACACATCTTAATATATGTATTTAGGTCTGTTATCGGGTATAGCATTCTATTAACTGTCAAGGTCATTCACAGGCACACTTTCATATGTGTAAGGTTATAGGGAGTAAAAGAACAGGTAGCTTTGTATAGTGTATCATACTTAACGAACATGGAGGTCGTTAATACTACAGACAAGGAAGGAAACAAGATAAAATACAAGAAATACAAAGGAAGATCATTCCACATGGAAACTGTCGGTAATGTTGAGGATCAGCTCCAAATGGTGGAAACATTCAAAGTCCGACCTGACGATGTGTTTATTTGCACCTTCCCTAAGTCAGGCAAGTAATACCAGAACTAGTCCAATGACAGAGAGGCTGTCTGGTACACATCTACCGTGAATGAATACAGATTTCTGAAGAAACATGACTTTCGAAAGGTTCGGTCGCATTAATTATATCTTTTACATTGTTGCTTGGCCCTAAAAGACTCAATTTGTCGATGGGTCGTTAAACAGTATAATTACAATAACAAGACCATTGAATATTAACATTCAGCCCTGATTTAACTGTCGCTATTGAGACCCATTATCACTTCATTTATTGGCACAACCGAATGTAATGGTCTCGGAAAGTATTATTTTCTTCATACATTTCAACTAAAAGTATAAAGTTTAATATAATACAACACAAATTTTCGTCAGTATCATTTCACTACTTTTGCTTATACACTACATACACGAGTCTTTCAGGCAGGGGAGACCGTCCTTAAATGACCATAACTGTTGATAGGACGTTAAACAATACTAAACCAAACCAAACCATGTCTCCATTGACAATGTCTCCACTTTTGGCCTTTAGTTGAGCGTTCGCACCTGTGAGAACAACGTAATTGAGATCTAAGTTATCCTGTTCTTATTCTACCAGTGCAAGGTTACGCAAGATTCCGGTAAGGCTACACTGAAGACATGGAGATATAAAGTAATGCCGAGAATGTAATTTGCAAATGATTTTAGCTCGGTCTATAAGCCGAAACATCTATGTGTGTAATTTAGCTTACATGAACATGTATGTGATATGCTCTGGACTAAAGTGGTTAGCTTTAAACCTTTTCGCCGAGCGTAACTTCAGCTAGGGTTTGGTCCCTGGGTGTGCAAGACGACATATCCCTGTGCGTAACTCACTTTCCCTAGTACCATCCGATATTTAATAACCTAAAAAATAAAACTTCTAAATCAATCTACATGAAAAATATTCACAGCAAGCGCTTTTTTTTCATCGCGGTGCCTTGTTTACAGAGCAGGGGTGATAAAAATGTTCCACGCAGCTTATCTGACATTGTTAGTATTATGTGACTTCGGCATGATATTGCGATGAGATAGCACTTAAAAGTTGACATCAGATTCACAAGAAGGCAATTACACCAATATACCCTGTCTCCTGTATACATACAAAACACAGAGAGGCACATCCTTACATGACCTAAGGCGATGTGTATAGGCCCTTACATAAGATACAACGAAGACAAACCAAACCCTGCAGGGTGCGACGTTACATTAGTCACTGAAACAGTACAAAGGGATATACAGAGTGCAATAATTTAATGGTGTTATTCTTAAGATTGGCGATTTGAGAGCTTAGATAACATTTATTATGAAATAATTATGAAACCATTTGTTATACGTTCGACAAAAGACGATGAAGTATTTTGTTATCAGGTGGGCGGGAGCATGCAGTGTCCGTTTGATAGCACAACAAAAAGTTTCAACAGATTGATACCAGTTTTCAGAGAAAGGTCAAAACAGTGTGTTTCATATCTCGAATAATTTAAGAAAGATCAATTCAATCAGATAGCATCGTGCCCACCTGTACATTGTCTGTGCATTTGAGTATTTTGGTACAATTTGTTAATCACTTTTACGTAATGAGAAAATCTTGGAGATTTAAAATATGATACATTTTTGTAAGTATTTGTTTTTCGCATTACAAAATGTAAATTTTAAACTTTCAAGAATGGGGCCTGTTGCTCGGGTTACAGAACAGGTAAATAACGTTTGAATACGATCTTTTGCGGTGTGTGTGGCGTATGCCGGACTCAGACAGTTGTTCGGTGATATACTGTGCGACTGTTATGTAAATAATGTATCTGTGATCTCACCATGGAAAGTTACACAAGTGTTCCAGGTAGCGATAATTATTTTTACCTGTGTATTTTGTTGTAACTTTATTGAACTTATTTCGACGGTAACTACAAATTAACATTTATTCAAAAACAGTAGTCTTCGAATAAAAATGCAACGAAGACAGACAAAACTTATTGCTACAGTTCTGTTATTTCCGTATCCAAAACCAATTTAATCTGGAGGTTTATATGTTTTAAAAAGAAACGTGGAATTCTCCTATTATTGGACAGGTATCCTTAACTTTATTTTGGCGAACAAATAGCATATTAATGTCACATGCTTAACCATATGCTGGTGTTTTAGGTACTCACTGGGTAACGAATATAGTTGTACCTTTGATCACTGGGTCAATAGGCGTTTACTCAGAAGACCGGTTAACCCTGGAGTTTCATGACCTGAGCGCCGCCAATGAGATAGAAGATCGTCGTCTTATTGGCTCCCACCTCTCCTTCCCTTTCATCCCAGCAGCTGTCAAAAGCGGAACGGGCAAAGTAATAAACGTCCTCAGAAATCCAAAGGATACGTTTGTCTCCTTTTGGAAATACTTCAGTACGATGTTAAATACTGGCTATGAGGGAACAATGGATGGATTTCTTCGTTTTTTCTTGTCCGACGAGTGTAAGAAAATACACCAAATCAAGCATATATTGCTATTTTAACCATGATGAAAGTTTGATATCAAATTCAATTGCAAAAGAAAAGAATGAAACAACAGCTTTTCATTGTCAGAGAATGATGTGATATATTTTGAAGTGGTATAATCATGCCAACTTGTAATATGATAATCAATTTTATTCTATAACGAATTTAATATCAAATTATGTTTTACTGAATAGCGATAATTTCTTTAAATGTAATTAAATTAATATTTACAATAACAGTAACCGCGTTTGATTTCAGTTTACATGTCTGCATCGTGGTTTACCTATATAAAGGAGTGGACGGATGGAAAATCAAACAACCCTGACATTCAAGTGCACACGGTGTGGTACGAGGATCTCAAGGAGGTAAGATTTTTTTTCAAGGAAGAATATAACTGCATAGTTATCCTTTGAGGCGACATAAATCGTCCCACTGTGGAATCGGACTCTTTTTCAGTGTCTTCTCCTTTTGGACATTTAAGAGAAAAGATTTGCTCTCTTCTTTGCAGAACTTTGGTCGTCTATTTTGCTGGCGGTCCCTATTCCCTACAGGTTTGGTAAAAGAGTCGAACCTGATTTATCCTGCTATTTTCATAACAGGCGACTTATTATTTACTGTGTCTTTTGTTAAGGAAACATCGAAGAAATCGAAAATGATCTGCTGCCCTTATTGCAACGCTCTGGTTTTTTTCTTTGTCACTTGATTGCTTTTTTGGCAGTGTCTTATGTCTTCATATGACCTCAGCTGTTGCAAGGACGGCAAGCTTCGACAAAATACAACGCGGCGTCTCCCTAGCCGTTAGCTGTTACAGACTTTAGCTAATGCGTGATATAAAACCGAAAACAAAAGAAAGAACTTGACACCAAACGTCCTATCAATTTTTTTTTCATGAATGAAAATAGCAACGTTTTTTACTGAACTTATTTTTTTTTTTTTTTTAATACCGATGAATCAAACAGAGCACAGATATTTGATTTAATTAAAAATGCACGATTATTAATAACATCAATGATTGTCTTTTCAGAACCTATATGACGAAATCGTCAAAATATCAGCGTTTTTAGGCTCAAGTGTAGATGAGAAATTCCTACGCGAAGTAGAAAGCAGTGTCTCTTTTACACGTTTAAAGGCTGCACATAACACAGATGCCGGAAGCACAAGCCGATGGAAAGATTTATGTGAAGATGACCATCTACCTATTTACAGAAAGGGTCAGTACTGTTGTTTTGCTATATGTGATATATCAGTTCATATACGATCCTAGAGCTGCCCTAAAGATCGAAGGTTAAAAAAGTATATACCAAGTATATATCTCCCCTCAATTCCCTCAATTTGTTGCTTATGATCGTCAATTTGTTTGCTAAATGTCTTTGGGACATGAAACATCGTTGATGCAGTAAACACACCAGGTGATTATGCACCTGCGATTAATATTTCCATCCGGCTACGTTTTAGGGATGTCCCTTCATATAAAATGATTTATCACGCCACTTCTCCCAAAGCGCTTCACTAATTTGACTGACACATAATACGTAAAATTCCTTTTATCTAGGCGAGGTCAATCAAGTATGTGAATTTTTGTTACCGCCTCTTATTATGTAGTTATGCACCTTTGTTTTGAAATGTCGTTCACACTCATCCTCCAAAAGAATTGCACGGATAGGAATGCTGTTTGGTACATGTAAAACTTCTGGGGTAGAAATATATACGCTGGAGTTACCTCCCCTATTTTTCGAGTTTTGCCCTTTTGGTTAAAATAGTATGAACTATTCCTACAGTTCCTCGTGAAGGTGGGTAGGAAGTCTATCACACAAGCACGCATACCTTACACATATGAAGGCAAGTTTGGTACATTTGTAGATGCACCAATAAAGCAATGCGGTAATCTCTTACAAATCGATAATGTGCTAAAACGTAAGTACACTAAAATAAGTACGCTTACAATATGACAATGTCCTTGCCACCCTGCGATAGGACGTTCCTCCGTGTGTATTTGTATCCAATTATTGTGATGTCTTTGTTGTTAGGTGTGATAGGAAACCGGAGAATAAGTTAAACGCTTTCGTGACACGTATTTGTTATCAGTGTTTTCCGAAAACTAGAGGAGTTGGCCGTTTTTCATTATCACGTCTTTGTTTTTTAGGTGTGATCGGAGACTGGAAAAATGAGTTGACTGTGGCACAGAGTGAACTCATTGACACTGCCATTAAGGAGAGACTTGCTGGCTATACATTTAACCTGAAGTATGAGTAGTGTTGTATGGAACCCAATACCAGCGGACACTGCGTTACCACTATAACGAACACATGGGATGTCAACTCCACCTTCGGAACATCAATCAACAAGCATTTTACTGACATTCAACAGTAATACCAAATATTAGATATCAAATATTTCACTGCTATTGACATGTAATCGTAATCATCAAGCAATGATCAAAGCAGATCATTCGATCCATATCATACAGGAAGGAATACTATAAGGAAGAGGAAATAAAGAAAATTGTGAATACTTAGTTTTCCTTATATCTATTTCATGCTTTTTGTGAATTTGTCATTTCTATTAAATTGCTTTAATGACATGAAGAATGAAATGTGCATCTAACCGTCGATTATTATGATGAGAATACATTTGTATCCTGTTTTGTGTTTTATATATTTGACATCAATGATTAAAAGACAAATGTAGATTCACATTTTACACATTCATCTTGACGTCTTTGGACAGTGTTGACTGTCTTTGGATGTTTTATTCATGTAAATGACAGTACAACGTGCAGTCCAGCCTCAATGCATAGCGTGTCAGGAACCATTTACAGTAAAGCACTTATTATTAGATGGGATCGACTTTCGGTCAGCTCGAGAAGATTTTTATAATAACATTAAATGTCTTAAATACTTTTCGAAAACATAACTGTCTCTTCAATTTTAGCTGTTGGTCTTACCTAATTAAATTTGAGTCACCATAGCCACTTTCAATAATCAATTTGACGTTTGTCTTTTGCCTTAAAGTTTGGTTTGATGTTTTTTTTTATCATTTGTTTTTGTCGACCCTTTGTTGGAACCTTATTACCTATCTTGTGTTGATGGGCCGTTAAGCATTGATAATAATAATAACAAGGGAAAGTCGCAAATCTTCTGTCGAGAAATATACTGTTATATAGATATCGATTCGATCAGCATTTACTGGAGAAAAACATCCTTAACACACACAGAACAAAAAGACAACAAAGGACACTGACGACTTGTTAATCTCAAAACCTCCCGTATAGTTCAAGTGTTTCAAATAAAATATGCATGCACCTGCTGGTTCCAAATGCACGATTCGTCAGAGGTGACTTATGTCCCTGCAGGTAGGGCGTAATAATTGTACCTACTGTCCCCATTGTATGATCGTAAGAGGCGACAAAATTTGGGATCTTATACTTCTTCCTAGTGTCTCCCTTGACAATGCCTCACTTTTGGACTTTTTTTGAGCGTTTGCCCCTGTGAGGCTTCGGGTTCTGTCCCCTGACATACCAGTCTATAAAAATGATAGTTTCTACTCCTGCTTAACGCTCAGCAATTTAGGAGTAGGGCGACTGGTTCGCCCGTTGTCAGTATAATGTGACCTGGTGGGGTGTCCTGCTGTGTGTCATCGGCAGTATGTTTCAGTGAGGTAGCACTACAAAGTCGGCATAAGTTCCGCGCTATCACAAGGAGACAAACACGAACATATCGCAGCATCCCAAGACACACTTGCATACACTTCACTCATGCATCTTACACACAGGGAAGGCCGTCCTTAAATAGCTGTTGATAGGACGTTAAACAATACTTAACCAAACCAAACCAATCAGTATATATAAATATTTCCATAGACAAAGTCTTTCTTCTCTGTTATTTAAGGACCAGACTTTACATTACTTAATTTAAATTAAGAGGGTCACGACTAAGTCAGTGACTCTGCCAACATCTATTCCTCTGTCATTCAATGCCTCACTTTTGGCCTTTAGTTCAGCGTTCGCCCCTGTGAGGAAGGCTTTGGGGTCTGTACCCTGACCGAGATATACCCGAGTGTGTAAAAATGGTAGTTTCTACTCCTGCTTAACGCTTAGCAATTTAGGAGTGGAACGACTGGTTCGCTCGTTGTCAGTATAATTTGACCGGGTGGGGTGTCCTGCTGGGTGTCTTCGGCAGTATGTTTCAGTGAGGAAGCACTATTAAGTCGGCATTACAGAAGTTCAGCGCTATCACAAGGAGACAAACACGAACATATCGCAGCCTCTCAAAACACACATGCATACACTACACGCATGCAACTTGCACACAGGGGAGGCCGTCCTTAAAAGACGATAGCTGTTGATAGGACAAAACACTATTAAACCAAACTGATGTTTTAACGCACTGATTGTTTTTGGAATTTCCTATTATGCCCCTTGCTTTAGGAATCAAACGCTATATAAATACATATGTTTTTCCTATTTTAACAAATATAATCATTATAATGCTTATTCTTTCAAAATGTTGATACTCATACATGCACGGTTTTTTTTTCATTTTAACATAGAATACATCTTAAGTGGTTGTGAAAATAGATAAAACGAACTACGGATTGTAGAACCTGAATGGTGATTTATATGTCAAAATAATCTGTACGAATAAGGATTTTACACTGAGATATGAAATCGAGGACGACATTTCGACTGTGGTGTCCTTTTAGTTAGAGTTATTTCCCTTAGATTGCTTAGTTATCTTGAGTTGGTTTGTTTATTTCAACACGCATAATTTATGTTATACCTTATAGCAAAGAAGCCGGCTCCTTTGATATTGGTGTATACTTATGCTTATTGAAAATTCCAAAATATTGAGGAACATGTCAAAACGTCACCTACCTATGCGCAATGACAGTTCAGAGCGTATGCCTTGACGCAACTTCTGAATAACCAAAACACTCAGGGTGATGATGTTTAGCCAGTAGCATGCTGCGATGGAGGGTTCCAAAATGTGTTCAAATGAATGACTTTCATATCCATAGGGGTCAAATCTTTTTGAAATAATGAACATCTTCTAAATATGCAAAACAAAGCATCAGGATAATAATGTTTGGCCCATAGCATGCTGGGCTGAGGGGCTATCAAATTTTTTGAAATGAATTACCTTTACCTATAATCAAGGCTACGGGGTAAAACATGTTTAAACACCTTCTCCATAATAACCAAAGGGTCGAGGGTGATGATTTTTGGCCTGTAGAATGTTTTAAAAGGAACGGCTTCTTACTTTGTTCAAATGAGTAAGAACACTCGCCCATATTCAAGGTCACGAAGTTCAATTTAAAAAAACAATTTATTTTGAATAATTGTAAATATATTTTGCCAGTAGCATGAAGAGATAAAGGGTTACAAAGTTTGTTCAAGTGAATGACCTTCACCCATATTCAAACTCACAGGGTTCAAATATATTCCAAATCTTTAAACGATTTCTCCTGAATAAATTAAATGGTTATGGTGTATGATATATGTACAGTAGCATGCTAGGATAAAATGTTACCAATTTAATTCAAATAACTAACATCCACTCACAATAAAGGTCACAGGGTCAAATATAAAAACAACATAAACAACTTCTTTTAAATAACTAAATAATCAAGGGTAATGATATTTAGCCAGTACCATGCTGGGATGAAGGGCTACCAGGTTTGGTGGAAAGAATGACCATGAATCATTTTCAAGAAGAAAAGTGTCAAATATATTAAAAACTTGATGACTTCTTCAATTGGCATTTAGCAAGTATCGTGCTCAGGTGCAGAGCTATTATTTTTATGTGAATGACCCTGACACGCTTTGAATGAACATTTTGAAGACATCGTCTCAATGACCAAAAAGTCTAGAGATGTGATATTTGGCAAGTTGATGCTGGAATGAATTGCTATAAAGTTTGTTCAGCTCAATGTTCTTGTTTTGCAAATCTGTTAAAACGGAAACAACATAAATAGCCCAAAGAAATTACTATGTTGTTTTCGAATGAACCTAGCGTTGGTTTATCCGCATCCTAGCTACTCCAGGGGGTACTCTCACTTACGCTCTTTGCACCCTTGGATAAATAAACCGTGGCAAAACTGAAGGCACAAGGTAAGGTATTTAATTGGTTTCAGTTAAAAAAAAAACACCTGATCATTGTGTTTCACTGACTCATATCCTTTGAAAACGACCAAAGCGCGACACCCGAGTTCAAAGCTGCCAATGTTTACCGTTGCTCTGCCGTGTCGTTATTTCATTGTACATAGAAATGTTCAAACTAGTCTTTTAGGATCTACAAGTTGGCGCGCATTGATCGTCATATTTTGTCATGAAATAGTCCGGGGATGCAGAGAGAGCAAAATGAGCGTAACCCCTTGAGACCGCAGAGGGGACGTTGTCATCATACGACTACGCCATACTTAATGACATATGCTTACATTTTACGAAATAGAATTTAACCACATTGTCCTGCCAGTGACCAACCACTTACTTGTAAATAGTATGGATAAAATGCACCGATTTCAAACACATACGTGAAACAGTGTTGTTTGATACGATTTTTTCGACATCAGTATATATGATTATAGATACTTTCAATTAATTTTGTTTTAAAGCCATTTCATTTGCAATCGATGTTCGCATCTTTTAGACATTTAAACAATATCAATCATTTAAACATACTTTTTGTTATCAAAATCAAAAATGCTCACCTGATCATTCAATCACGTTTTCTGAACTCCGTTTTGCACGCGGATAACACCGACTTCTATAATGATACCAGCGGCGTGGATGGCGGCAGAGCGAGAATATCGGAATCCGTATTAATCGTGCACCAAATCCGTATCAAATCATATAATATTGTAATTTAAGTAATACAATTAGTGTTAATCTCATATTTTTATTACACATATGCACAATGCTTAATTATAAGCATCCATATAGATTATAAACATAGGCATTTATATTGATTATAAACATAGGCATTTATATTGATTATAAACATAGGCATTTATATTGATTATAAACATAGGCATTTGTATAGATTATAAACATAGGCATTTATTTTGATTATAAACATAGGCATTTATATTGACTTTTAGCACCCATTCAGGTGGGGATCGGAAAAAACCTGCTGTGACCAGCTACATGTGTATCATAGGAGGCGACTAATGAGGGAAACCCCCACAGAAAGGGGATTTACTTCCGTGTCCTCTATTTGGGGACACAAACGCGACCACAATAAATCTGCTGCACCCATTGCAATGTTGGGATCTGTATCTTTCTTCCTACTTCTAACAACCTTTTATTTCATAGCGCCTTGCTTGGCGACACCTAACTTTTGGCCTGAATGTTGAGCGTTCGCCCAGGTGAGAAAGGTAATGGGTTCTGCCCCCAGGTCGGGGACATACCAAAGTCCTTAAAAATGGTAATTGTTATTACCTGTTTAACGTGCAGCATTTAGGGGAATGACAACAACTGGTTCACCCAATGTCAGTATAATGTGACCAGGCAGAGTGCTGTGCTGGGTGCTTTCGGCATGGTATTGTTATGGTGAGATAGCACTATAAAGTCTGCATCAGAT